CCCGGCCTCTCCCCTCCTCTCTGCCGGGCCCTCAGCAGCTTGCCAAGTTACCACGGCAACCGTTCCCTGGCCAGGTCCCCGGGGCCTCTCCCAGCGCCTGGACTTTGGTGTTGAAAAGGTGCCCCCACAAACACGTTTGGGTTGCCTGCCGGCTTCAGGGGCGTCTCTCGGTCCCTCCTCGGCTGTGCAGGGCACAGCCACCGCCAGCCGGGAGGTCAGGTCACCCCGGGCAGGTGCGCTGGCCGTGGAAGGGAGGGCAGAGGTGTCAGGGAGCACGGAGGTCAAGGTGAACTCCCATGTTGCTGGGAAGGCCGCCCAAAGGCTCGTCCCACTGACCCAGAGTCAGCCGCCGACAGCGTCACTGCCCGTCCGCCCGCCCAGGGAACATGGTCCATGCGGCCGGCTGGCGGGAGGAGGCCTCGGAGATCAGGCGGGGCAGGGGCCCCACCCTGGCAGCCCATCAGCTCAGCTCCAGGAACCCGGCCGCCTGACTCACCCACAGCACCTGGGCCGGGGCCGGCCGCTCTTCCCGCAGACACAGCTGCCGCATCTGCTGGCCACACCCCGCCCAGCCGTCCGAGAAAGAAGCCTGAGGCTCCCCCTCTGCCCAGCTCTGTACCCCCCTCCCCCGCGCGTGCGCGCGCACACACACACACACACACACACACACACACACACACGGACACGGGTGCCTTTGGGCCTTGGCCACGGCCACTCCTCCACCCCCCGGGTCAGAAATGGGCAGAAGGGAAGGGACCCAGAGGTTGCAACAGACCCACCTACGTCTCTCCAGTCTCCAGGCCAACTGTCTATGAACCAACCATCAGGCTGGGGGTGGGGAACGTCTGGCCCCGGGGCCGGGGAAGGCCCTCGAAATCATTTGGTCTGGCCTTGGGGTGAGTTCATTCAATGTTTGACCAAACAGAGCAGGCTGATTTTTCAATTTTTTAAAAACAAATGACTTTTAATTTTTTTTGTTAATCCCCACCCAAGGATATTTTTTTTCTTTATTTTATTTTATAAAATATGTTTTTTATTGGTTTCACAGAGGAAGGGAGAGGGAGAGAGAGAGAGAGAGGAACTCAGTGATGAGAGAGAATCACGGATCGGCTGCCTCCTGCACGCCCCACACTGGGGATGGAGCCTGACACCGGGCCTGTGCCCCGACCAGGAATCAAACCGTGACCTCCCGGTTCCTAGGTCGATGGTCGATGATCACCACGGAGCCACGCCGGGCGTCCCAGGGGCGGTGCGGTGTGTTTGCTGCCGTATGGAGCCCCGAGGCATGGCCTTAGCTGGAACCCGCCCGCCCAGCTCAGCCCTGCTGGGGACTAAGGCAGCGAATGTGCAAACGGTGCGTTGCTCGGTCGGGGGCAGGACAGCCAGGGGACGGTGTGGACACTCAGTGTGGGCTCCTAGAGCCGCTTCCTAGCGGCCCAGCCTGGGCCCTGCAGCCAGGAGAACGGGGGGGGGGGGGGGGGGAGGGCGGGGGCCTCTCCTGGGGCCAGAGACCCTGCCCCTCCCCCACAGGGGCAGCCAGCATGGTGACCCTGCCAGCTCCAGGGAGCCGGGCCGAGGGCGGGGTCTCCGCGTCTGTCTTCAGCCTCCTTCACATCTGGGAAATTTCCTCCTCTCCTTCAGGGAGGTGTGGCCTCTGACGTGGGCACTCCGGCCTCCTCTCCACCCAGCCTGGTCTCGGTGGCCATGAGATGACGAAGGTGGACGGAGGTGGACGCTCGGTTCGCCCGGGAGAGTGGCAGGGAGCCGTGGGGTCTGAGGTGCAGGGCGTCCGCTCAGGGCCACTCTGCCCAGCTCTTTCGTGAGCACAGGGGCCCCCGGCCATCCAGGTAGTGCCTTCCGTGAGGGGGGGAGGGGACCCACCTTCACGCACACCCACTGCGGGTCAGCGATGCCTCTCGGGTGTCCAACTGCTCGGAACAGCCCCCCAGGTGTATGGCTGTCTCCACACGCCGTCCAGAGCTCTGGGGTCAGGCATGGCTCAGAGGAGAGAAGTGTGTGAATTCTTTTTTAAAAAAATTATATATTTTTATTTATTTATTAAATATATCTTTATTGATCTCAGAGAGGAAGGGAGAGGGGGAGAGAAATAGAAACATCAATGATGAGAGAGCATCACGGATCGGCTGCCTCCTGCACGCCCCGCACTGGGGATCGAGCCCACAACCCGGGCCTGTGCCCTGAGCGGGAATCAAACCTGGGACCCTTCAGTCCGCAGGCTGACGCTCTATCCACTGAGCCAAACTGGCTAGGACAAAATATAATATATTTTTATTGATTTCAGAGAGGAAGGGAGAGGGAGAGAGAGAGAAACATCAATGATGAGAGAGCATCATGGATCGTCTGCCTCCTGCACGCCCCCTACTGGGGATGGAGCCCGAAACCCGGGCCTGTGCCCTGACGGGGACTCGAACCCCGACCTCCTGTATCATAGGTTGATGCTCAACCACTGAGCCACCCCGGCCGGGCTGTGAGTTTGCTTTCGTGCGGTGTCCGGGGACCACTCACCGGCCAGAGGGAGGACCACAGGGCCCCTCGTGGGCTCAGAGCCCCGAGAGGAGTTCGGCCGTCCTTGGCTGGTGCCGGTGCTGCCTGGGAAGGGTTAACCCTCTGCCCCGCCCCCCCCCCAGCATTCTTCTGTGCTGAGGCAGCACCTGGGTCAGGACATCAGGGCCAGAAAGCAGAAAGGACAGGCGGCCACCTGGCAATGAATAATCTGCTGTCCCAGCCGGGCTCCCGGAGGCGGTGGTGCCAGCACCAGAGGGCGGGTTGGGGGGGGGGCTCGGGGGGGCAGGACCCTGGCATTACCCCACCTCCCAGGCAGTCCCAGCCCCAGGCTGGCTCCTCCCACTCCCCCCACTCCCTCCCCCAGGGCTTCAGAGCCAGGTCCCAGCCCAGAGGGCCCGCCACCTGCCGGCGGGGACCCCTCTGTGGTAGTGAGCTCCCCATCCGTGGAGGGGTGCAAACAGAGGTTACTTGCTCATTAGCGACACCGGCTCCTCTCGGGCCGCCCCTGCCTCTCTGTGCTCCCCTCTCCAGGCCTGTAGCTGGGGGCGATGGGGTCCCGGCCTCGCAGGCCGGCTGCGAGATGGGCTGACTCACCGCCGCCCACAGCTCGCGCTCGAATGGGCCGGGCCGTGTGGCAGCGACTAGTAGGTGCCCTCCGCCGTCCTCTCGACCAGCTGCTGTCACCCCGAGGGGCAGACACAGAGCCACGCGGCACAGAGGGCTCAAGCACTTGGCCAGAGTCCATGCTCCCCGCCCGCCCCCACAGCACCAGAGGGGCAGAACCGGAGATCTCGTTCCGGACTCAGGTCTCGGCAGGCGGGCACCTGCACATGGACCGCCCCACACGAGGTTCAGGGTGGCACCCGTGACCGCCTGGGGCCTCCGTCGTCCAGGGCCCAGGGCAGCCCAGCCCCTGGCCCACCCCGTCCCACCTGAGTAGCCTTTTTGTCCCTGGCCTCAGGGAAATTCCGAGGGAGGAGGATGGGGAATCCCTGGGATCCTGCAGACATTCCCACGGGCAGGAGTCTTGCCTCCCCGCCCGCTCACATCCTCCGGAACCAGGGACCGGCCTGGCCCGGAGGGAGGGGTCGTCCTCGAAGCAGCAGCGGGGACAGGAGCAGAGCGTTGGGGGGCCCATGTGGGGCGCCCTCAGGGGGAGTGAGGGATGCGGCCGTGGGGGCACACCCCCTGGCACTTGGTGTCCGGGGTGCAGGGGGCTGGGGGCCAGCAGGTGGGAGGTGACGATGGAGGAGCGAGGCCTGGTTACTGGACATCTGCCTCCACCTAGTGGCCTCTGCCGGTCCAGCCGTCCCCACAGAACCAGGAAGCCCGGGGGCCTCCCAGGGGTCAGAGCTCACCCAGCACCCCTGTCAGCCCGGTGTGAGGGGGGCACGTTCATGAGAGCGAAGAAGGAGCAGAGGGACTCAGCCTGTGCCCAGCTCGACGCCTCAAGGCTCGTGCCCGACTGTGGGCCCCGAGGTCTGTGCTGGTTGCGGCTCTACCTCTCTGGACCTCAATCTCCACTTAAAAAAATTTTTTTTTAAATATATTTTTACTGATTTCAGAGAGGAAGGGAGAGGGAGAGAGAGATGGAAACATCAATGATGAGAGAGACTCATGGATCGGCTGCCTCCTGCATGTCTCCCGCTGGGGATGGAGCCTGCAACCTGGGCAGGTGCCCCGACCAGGAATCAAACCGTGACCTCCTGAGCCACGCTGGCTGGGCTAGGCTAGGTTTTTTGTTTGTTTGTTTGTTTAAAAAAAATATTTTTTTGATTTCAGAGAGGAAGGGAGATAGAGAAATAGAAACATCAGTGATGAGAGAGAATCATGGATCGGCTGCCTCCTGCACGTCCCCTGCTGGGGGGGCATCGAGCCCGCAACCCGGACACGTGCCCTTGGCCGGAATCGAACCTGGGACCCTTTAGTCCGCAGGCTGACGCTCTATCCACTGAGCCAAGCCGGCCAGGGCGAGGTTTTTCACTGTGGCTGCTTTCCGAGGGCACTGGCGTGGCCAGGGGCCCAGCAGACGGACACGGGCCCTTGCGAACGGCGTTGGGTGAGAGGGCTCTGGACTCGGCCCAGGTCCCGCCTCGCTCTGCAGCCTCGGGGTCTCGGACCCGAAACATGGCAGTGTTGTCCCTTAACCCCCGCCCCCCGCCCCCAGGCTGCTGTGAGGGGTGACGGGATATCAGCTGAGAGCACAAGGGCCTACTGCGCGCTCAGCGAATGACAGCGACAGGCATAGCGGCTGCCTTAGCACTGTCTGCGGAGGTGGGGTCCCAGCTCCCCCAGGTCCTGTCCAGCTCCCGTGGCCGGAGCGGGTGGCTTCTGAGGGCTGCAGGGCTGACACGCTGTCCCCTGTGGGGCCTGGGAAGGAGTGTCCGCAGGGCAGCAAAGAGAGCTCTGTGTCCAGCAGAGGGCCCTGCCCAGCCCGTGGCCGGCGGGGCGGGCGGGAGGGAGCGGCTGGAGGCCACCGAGGAGGGTGGTGATGCCAGACGCCTACTGGGGGCGGACCGCGCGGCCAGCTGCCTCTCTCTGCTCCTCGGGCACCGGGTCCCCTGCCCTCACCTACTCTCCGGGGGATAGCTGCCTCTCGCTGTCGGCCATGCGGTGGCTGTGGCCACTGGCCGTCTTCCTCGCGGTGATGTCCTCGGCTGCGGGGCTGAGCGGCGTCCCTGGGGCCGCCCCCCGGCACCCCGGGAGGCTCCCGGCCGGGGCCCTGGACCAGAGGAGCCGGCCCAGGAGAGGCACTGAGGACGAGGAGGCCAGGGGGGTGCAGAAGTACGTGCCCGAGGCCTGGGCTGAGTTCCCCCGGCCCATCCGCCCTGCTGGCCCGCAGCCCACCGAGCCCCGGGCGGCCACCAGCCCCCGCCCGGATGACACCGGGGACGCCCCAGGCAGCGGGCCAGAGCCGGGGGGCCCTCCGACAGGGGTGCCCGGCCAGCGGCTGCAGATGCAGAACCCCCTGTACCCGGTGACCGAGAACTCCTACGGCGCCTACGCCATCCTGCTGCTGGCCCTGGTGGTGTTCGCCGTGGGCATCGTGGGCAACCTGGCAGTCATGTGCGTGGTGGGGCACAGCTACTACCTGAAGAGCGCCTGGAACGCCATCCTGGCCAGCCTGGCGCTCTGGGACTTCCTGGTCCTCTTCTTCTGCCTGCCCGTTGTCATCTTCAACGAGCTCTCCAAGCAGCGGCTGCTGGGGGACGCATCCTGCCGGGCCGTGCCCTTCTTGGAGGTGAGCGTCCGGGGGGCCACTAGCACTGGGAGGTGGGGGCTGGGCGGCTCTTGCGGGGGGGTAGTGGCCTGGGGTGCAGGGCAGCCGGGTGTCCCCCAAGGGAGCTGCTCAGGGCGGCTGTCCCTGCTCTGTATCCTGCGCTGCCCCCTGCCGTCTCTCCACCTCGGGCACCGCTCCCCCTCTCAGTCCTTAGGGTGTCTTTCTCTCCCGTGTGCCCGCCCCCTGCCGATGCCCAAACCCCGGGCGTGTGCCCTGACCGGGAATCAAACCTTGACCTCCCGGTTCATTGGTCAATGCTCAACCACTGAGCCACACCAGCCGGGCTCCATTGATTTTTAGAGACAGTAGAAGGGATGGTGGAAGAGAGAGACACACGTGGATGTGAGACACACATCTATTGGTGTGTTGCCTCCCCCACAAGCCCTGACCGGGGCCGAGGATCGAACCTGCAACCCAGGTACGCGTGTCCTTGACCGGGAATCAAACCCATGACCTTTGGGTGCGCGGGCCGATGCCCTAACCATTGAACAACACCAGCCAGGACTGAATGAATTCTTGAAGGATTAAGTGGTGCTTAGGAGAAAGTACTTAGAATGAGAAGAATTCAATGGATGCTGGTTTTTCCTGGGAGCGGCCTGGGGAGGGGGGCATACAGGTGGCTGGCTGGTCCCAGACAGCCCGGCCCTACCCCAGGGTGGGTCTCCGCACACCTGGGGGCTGCAGCCGGGAGGAGGGGCTCTGGTATGCGGAGACCCACCCTGACCCACCCTCCGGCCCGAGGCCTCTTCGCCACCCTCTACCCCTCTTGGAGGGCAGCGGTCACCCTTGGAGGAAGGGTGGTGGGTGGAAGTCCAGGACCAAATTCAAGGCCCCGGAACCCTTATCTGGGGGGGGGCGGGGGCGGTCTCAGGAATGACTCTAGAGAGAGCCTGTGAGAGGCAGGGGCGGAGAGAGCGGGCGAGGCCGCCTGCAGGGGGTCGGCACGGCTCACCCAGGACGCCCGGCGGCCATGCCAATCAGGGGGGGACCCGTCCCCGAGCTGGAGGGGCCGAGCGTGGCCGGAGGCATCGAGCGCGGTCCTGTGTGGTCCTTGTCCTCTGGCCGCTGGAAGCCCCGCGCCTTTCTTCTCCGGGGCACGCTCCCCGGCGGCCCTGGCGGCTTCCTCTTGGCTCTCAGGCGGTTTTCCTGTCGGCTCAGTGAGCGCCCACGGGGAGGGTGGCGAGTTCGCGACCCCTCGCGGCCAAGGCCGGCTGCTCCGGACACGGCCAGGGTGAGCGAGGGAGTGTGTGTTTGTGAGCGTGTGCGAGGCGTGTTCCCGGAGACCATGCGTTTGCAGGTAACGGGGGCAGAACCAAGACCTCGTCACCTGCAAAGACCAGGACTGCTGAGCCCCTGTGTGGCCACACTCACCCCCCGCTGCCCCCCCACCCCGTCCCCGTGGGGCCTCAGCTCTGCCCCCCAAGGTCTGGCCTGGCAAGCAGTTTCCTCTTCTTCTTCTTTTTTTTAAAATGTATTTTTATTTGTTTCAGAGAGGAAGGGAGAGGGAGAGAGAGAGAAACATCAAATGAGGAGAGAGGAGCATCGATCAGCTGCCTCCTGCACGACCCACACTGGGGATGGAGCCTGCAACCCGGGCCTGTGCCCCGACCAGGAATCGGACTTCGACCTCCTCGTTCCTGGGTCGGGTCGACGCTCAACCCCTGAGCCAGGCCGGGTGGGCGGGCGCAGTTCCCGGCTCTGAAGGTGGCTGGTTGTTGTGAGAACCTGATGACCGAGGGGAGGTGCCTGGCGAGTACGAAATGCTCCACGCAGCCCCGGCCGGTGTGGCCCAGTGGATAGAGCACTGGCCTCCGGACCAAAGGGTCCCGGGTTTGAATCCGGCCAAGGCCCCCTACCTCGGTTGCAGGCTCCTCCCCGGCCCGGGCCCTGGTCAGGGCTCGTGCAGGAGGCAACCCATCGATGTGTTTCTCTCACATCGATGCTTCTCTCTGTCTCTCCCTCTCTCTTCCACTCGCCCTAAAATCCAGTGGAGAAATATCCCCGGGGGGAGGATGAACAACAAAAAAAAACCCTGGCCTGACCGTGGCTTCCCTCTCCTCCCATCTCCGCCCAGGTCTCCTCTCTGGGGGTCACCACCTTCAGCCTCTGCGCCCTGGGCATCGACCGCTTCCACGCGGCCACCAGCACGCTGCCCAAGGTGCGGCCCGTCGAGCGGTGCCAGTCCATCCTGGCCAAGCTGGCCGTCATCTGGGTGGGCTCCATGACGCTGGCCGTGCCCGAGCTCCTGCTGTGGCAGCTGGCGCAGGAGCCCGCCCCGGCCCCCGCCGGCGGCACCGTGGACGCCTGCGTCATGCGCCCCTCGGCCGGCCTGCCCGAGTCCCTCTACTCGCTGGTGCTGACCTACCAGCACGCCCGCATGTGGTGGTCCTTCGGCTGCTACTTCTGCCTGCCCATCCTCTTCACCGTCACCTGCCAGCTGGTGACCTGGCGCGTGCGGGGCTGCCCCCCCGGGGGGCGGAGGCCCGCGGCGTGCCAGGCGGCGGCGGGCAAGCACGGGCAGTGCGAGAGCCAGCTCAACGCCACGGTGGTGGGGCTGACCGTGGTCTACGCCCTGTGCACGCTGCCCGAGAACGTCTGCAACCTCGTGCGGGCCTACCTGGCCGCCGAGCTGAGCCGCCAGACCCTGGGCCTGCTGGGCCTGGTCAACCAGTTCTCCGCCTTCTTCAAGGGCGCCGTGACGCCCGTGCTGCTGCTGTGCGTGTCGCGGCCGCTGGGCCGGGCCTTCCTGGACTGCTGCTGCTGCTGCTGCGAGGAGTGCGGGGGCCCCGCGGACGCCCCGGCCGCCCCCGGCGCGGACGGCAAGCTCAAGACGGAGATGTCCTCCTCCATCTACTTCCACAAGCCCAGGGAGTCGCCCCCGCTCCTGCCCCTGGGCACGCCCTGCTGAGGCCGGGCCCTCCCGGGAGGCCTGCGAGGGGCCAGGGGCAGCCTGGCCATTCGGCGTCTCTGTCCCCACGGGTCCGGCTTGGATGGCCCGGCCGCCTTGCTGTCCGGAGGGCGGACTGGGGACCTGGCGTGGAGGATCCGGGCGCCTCCCCACGCAGGGTTTTCCTGTCGCAGCCGGTGGCGGACTGTGATGCTTGTAGATCCTTAGAAACCGCCCCAAACTCTCAGTCCCCCCAGCTGGGAGCCTGAGCTCAGCTGGTCCCAGCCCCGCCCCTGCCAGGTGTGCCCTCCCTGAGCCCCCTCTCCGTGCCCCCACCCATCCCGGAATTGGGGGCTCTTTGGGGACCAGCCTGACTTGGCTCTTCTCTGGACCCGATTCGTCCCAACCTGGACCCTCCCTCCTCCCCCTCCTCCTCCTCCTCCTCCTCCTCCTCCTCCTCAGGACCCTGGGTTGCCCTGTCCCCACACCCCACACCCCTCGTTAGGTGAACCCTATAGAAGGCCTTTCTTAAAACACAATAAACGAGGTAGAACTAGCCCTGTACCCACTGGACTTCCTTCTGCCCATCCTGGGGGTGCTCAGGGGTGCCCGGGCCTTCCCAGGGTGGGCAGTGCCCCGTGGGGGACTCCCGGCCACCTGCCGCTTGACGGCTTTATTTTACTCATTTATTTTAAATGTGTTTTTATTGAGAGGGAGAGATAGAAGCATCCGTGATGAGAGAGAATCACGGACCGGCTGCCTCCTGCACGCCCCCCACTGGGGATCGAGCCTGCCACCCGGGCCTGTGCCCTGACCGGGAATCGAACCCTGACCTCCTGGTTCACAGGTCGACGCTCACCACTGAGCCACGCCGGCCGGGCTGGCCGAGGGCTTCAGAGGGGCAGGTGGATGGAGGGCGCTGAGCCGGGTTCCTGGGGAGTCAGAGGGCTGCCAGCTATGCCCCCCCGGAGCCCCACCCCCGCTCCCCTCTCCACAAAGCCCCCATTCGAGGGGCACCGGCAGCCGCCCTCCGTGAGCCCCGGGCGTCCAGCCGCTGCCTCTGAGAGCGCTTCTTGTTCCCCAGGAGGACAGCCTGCAGCTGCCTGCCCCCACCCCCCTTCCCATGGGGGCTCCACCCCCTGCCCCCCCACCGCCTGCCCCCGCAGCTCTTCCTGCTGGTCCTGCCCTGGGCATCCACTCCCTCGGGCGGGCGGCCTCGGCCCTGCGTGGGCCCAGAGAATTGGCACCAGGGACATCACAGGGGACCATCAGCCCAGCCACCGACCACTCCCGGCCCCAGGAGTCCAGCTGCCTTCAGAACCACAGAACCACCGGCAAGTCCGCCCTCCAGGCCCACCTAGAACGTGTGTCCTGGGGGCCCCGTGGGGAGGGGCAGGGTGCCCGGGGGCCCTGGGCGCCTTCGCCTCGGCCCGCCCCTCCCACACCCCTTGTCCTCAGCCCGCCCTGTCCCCAAACCTCCCCCCCTCCAGCTCCCTGGGATCTGAACAGCCTTGTTCTCCATCCCTGGCACCCACCCCCGGGAGGGAGGGAGGCCGTTGCTAGGCGACCCACCCATTCCTCTGAGGACCTGTTGCCGCAGCGATGGCAGCCCCAGCTTTGTCTGTGGAGACTTGGAGATGGGGGGGGGGGGAGGCAGGGGGCGATGGCAGGCCTGCGTTTCCTCCACGCCCCTCCCTGTCCTGGATGTGGGGGGCGGGGCGGGGGCCGGGGTGAACGGAGGTGAAGTCGGATCTGGGCAGAGCTGAGGATGGAGGGCAGGCGAGGGGAGGGGGACCCCTCCGCATCCTGTTTGGGGGCCTCTTCCACAAAGGACACCCTCTGCCTCTCCCTCGGGCTGGCCAGCTCCGGGCTGATGGGGCGGGCGGGGGGCTCCCCCAGGCTGTGCCCAGCCTCTGCCCCGCCTGCCAGCGCTGAGGCCTGCATAGCGGCCAGCAGGCCAGCGGGGCCTTGGGAACGGGCACTGTCCTGTTCCCCCCCCCAACCCCCTGGCTGGGGGACAATGTGGCCTTTGTTGCTCAGGGGTCCCCGACTGGGCATAGGGGTGGGCGGTGGCTGTGAGCTGGATGCTGACACTCACTGCCCAGGGCGGACGGCAGGAGAGCACCCTCAGGCCTGGGGTTGGGTGGGAGGGGGTCGACCCATGGACCCCCCACAGCTGGCAGGTGGGGGACCGTGCACTTGGCGCGCGGGGGGCGGGGAGATCGCCTCACTTCGGTCAGAGGACACAGTGGCTGAAAGTCTCAGCTCAGCTTTGCCATCAGAGTGGGGGACACCTCCTTCCCCAAACTGGTGGGACGAGAAGCACGGGGGACGGGGGGGGGGGGGGGGGGGGAGGTTACCCCGGCCCCTGCCTTCCCCTCGGGACTTCAGCTCTGCAGGGCTAGAGGCGGCCTGGCCTGGCGGCTGCTCACTCACGGGTGTGGGTGTGGGCAGGGCGCCCCCAAACGGGGCCACCCACACGGATACAGGCCCGTCCCCGCCCCAGGCCTCCCCGTGGTGCCATCAGCCTCTGCCCTGCAGGCCTCTGTCCGATCTCCAGCCCCAGGAAGGCAGGTCAGCCCCAAACAGCCCCTCCTGCTCCCAGGCTCCAGGCCAGGGCAGCGCCTGTCGCTGGATGGGGGACCCCAGCTTCAGCCTCCTCCTCAGACCCTTGAGCTGTTTACCAAACTGTCCCCAGACGTTCCCGGAACTCCTCCGGCCGTGGGAGCGTCCTCCCAGGCCGCCACCTCTGGACCAGCTCAGAGGACCCAGAGCCAGAGGCCTGGGGCGGGGAGGGGGGCGGAGCCAGGGAGGGCGTGGACGGCCGGGGCAGCTCAGAGCCCACAGGGCAGCCCCGGCCCAGAGCCCCGACCTGGAGGGCGGCCGGGTCAGGCTCAGGCTCTGGGAGCTCGTCTTCCTGCAGGGCCAGGTGAGGGAGCCCCACTTCCAGGGGGAGAAGGGGGGAGGCGGAACGGGGGAGAAGGGGGAGGCGGGACTTCCTGAGAAAGTGGGTCAAGATGGCTCAGGGTTTGGGTGAGCTGTGCCGGCTGCTGTGGGCGACCAGGAGGGGCACCGGGTCGGGGAGGGGGGACAACGGCTGGAGGTGGGCAGAGGGTGAGGGTCCTGCCCCTCCCAGCCCAGGAAGGAGGCCGCCAAGCTCTGCCCTGGGGACAGGCAGCCGGATCCAGCCGGGCCGTGGGGCGTGGGGCCCCACTCAGGCTGCGGGGGAGGTCACAGCCGGGCTGTGAGGACACCGAGGCCCCCGTTCCCCCCCACGACGCCCCAGGCTGTTCCTTAAACAGACCCAAGCTCCACTTGGCAGCTGCCAGCAGAGAGGAGGCGGGCGAGGGCGGGGCACCCGTGGGAGGCGCCCCGGGAAATGCCCTTGCGAGCCTGTGGGCACCCGCCTCCCTCTCTCCCTGTGGCAGTTGGTGGCCGTGTGTGTGTGTGTGTGTGTGTGTGTGTGTGTGTGTGTGTGGGGGGTGCTGGCGGCCCCCCCGGAAAAACAGCTGACACCTCACCCCCCAGCATAAAATGGCTAATTTATTCATGATGTTGTTAGGAGGCAAAAAAAAAAAAAATGTACAGTTACAAGAATCGTTCTCCAAACAGAGGTTAAACAGGAGCTGGAAAGTATAAAAAAAATAAAATAAAAAGGAGGAAGACCATCACTTTACAAATCATTAAATTAGAACCGATAAACACACACACAGCCCAGAGAGCCACCTCACCCCATGCTGAGTTCTCTCCTTGTGCGACTGTAAAAAAACCCGGAGAACAGAAAGCGAGGTGCCCGCGGGGGCGGGCGGGGGCCTGGGAGGGGCAGGGGCTGCGGCCGCAGGCGTGGGGTGCTGGGCCCCTGCCCCCGGGGCCTGGTGGTCTCGGGCAGCTGGCTGTGCCTGGGGCCCTAGGAGGCCGGGGGCAGAGAGGGCTGCCTCTGGGGGCTCCGTGGGCACGTGACATGCAGGCAGGGACCGCCCGGCTGGGAGGCGGGCGTGCACGGGGCGTGGGGCGGCCACCGGTGCCCAGGCTGGTACCTGCCCCTCCAGGCCGCCCCTCCCGGATCCCGCCTGGCGCCCCCGCAGCATCGAATGGTTGATTTTAGTCTTTGCTTAAATTAAAAAATTAAAATATATATACATATATATACTGTACACACAGGACAATAACAGAAGAGTGTTGAAGAGGGCGGGGGACAGGGGACGGGGGAGGGGGGGCTGGGGCCAGGGCTGCTGAGAGGGGGAAGCAGGGTGGGGGAGGGGGCAGGGGAGAGGGGACCGGTGAGGGGGAGATTAGGGGACCAGGGGGAGCGATTTATTTTACAATAAAAACAGGAGTTCAAACCTCAGCAGAACGGGACTCTGGGGTCCCCAGAGGGCCCCTCCCCACACCAGTGATGTGGGGCGGGCTTTGGGGGGACGCGGGGTGGGCTTGGGGGGGGGGACGACGCGGGGTGGGCGGGGAGCTCGGCCTCAGGTCTGGGTGGTGGGTCCCTGGTCCGAGGGTGGGGGCCGCCGTCTCAGCTCCTCCGCGACTTCGAGTGCTGGATAAGCCACTGTAGGGTAATGTCTGGGGGTGGGGGGTGGGAGGGTGGGGGGGGGAGAAGAGGAGGTGATGGGGCTTCCCCCTGGGGCACTGACGTCAGCCCAGGGCTCCCCAAACTGCAGCGAGGACCCACCCTCAGGGCATCGAAGCCCAGAGCCATCCAGCTCGGAAAGCCCCAGACAGGGGGCGTCGGGGTGGGTGCTGAGAGCCAGAGCAGGAGGGGGTGTGGGAAGCGCCCGCCCCCCCTGGGATGGTGCAGGTGGGAGGCCAGGCCGGGGGACGCAGACAGGGCAGGTAAGGGGCTCAGAGTGCGGCCTCGCCCGGTTGGCGTGGCTCAGCGTCCGGCGTGCGGGAGGCAGCCCAGTGATGACGTGTCTCTCTCCCTGATGTTCCTCCCTCTCCCTCTCTCTCTCTAAAAAATCAGTAAATACATGAAAAAGAAAAAAAGGAAAAAAGACTGCAGCTTCCGAAGGCCTGACCCCCACCCCCAGGAGAGTCGCCAAGCTCTGGGCTTCCAGGAAAGGGTGGGAGTGAGGGCTTGGGGGGCCAGGGCACGGAATCACCCAGGGGGGCCTCTCCCCTGCCCCCCCTTCCCCCCCACTGCCCCCCCAAACCCACGCACCGATGTTGTCCTTCTCTTTGCAGGAAATGGAGTAACAGCAGATCTCTCGGTCTTGGATGGCAGACAGATTCCTGGGGGGGGACACCAGAGATGAATGGGCCCTAGGCTGGGGGGTGGGGGTGGGGGGAGGGTGGGGGGAGATGGGGGGAGAGGCTGGCTCCAGGCGGGTGGGCTCTGCTGCCCCCGTGTGGCCACCCTGAGAACAGCAGCTCGCCGCTGGCTCCCCGGTGCCGGGGTGTGGGGAGCCGCGAGGTCACCTGACTCACATTTTCTCAATCAGCTCCTTCTCGTCCAGGGCTCCCGGGAGGTCTCGCTTGTTTCCCAGGACTAAGACCTACAGAGGAGGGAGGACGCGCCCAGGTCCAGGGGGGCTGTGGCCCGGCTTCTGCCCTCTGCCTGCCCCCTCCCCCCAACATGTCGCCCCATGTCCTCGGCCGCCCTGGGGCCCCGTGGGGAGGCTGACCGGGATCCCCTGCAGCTGGGGCTTGTCCAGCAGGTTGTGCAGCTCGTTCTTGGAGGCCTCGATCTTCTCCTGGTCGGCGGCGTCCACCATGTACCTGGGAGACGGGTGGGACAGCCCGGGACGTCAAGGGTGAGCGGGCGGGGCAGGAGCTGGGGCTCTGGTTCTAGGGGCCTGTGCGCCTGGGGCGGGGGGGTGGGGGGGGGCAGGGGGGTGCCGGGAATGTCTCCTGGGCTGATGGACATGAGACCTGCAGCACTCCCAGGCCTCTGAGCCTGGGCCCCGGGGGTCCGCTGTGAGCCTGGGCCCCGGGGGTCAGCTGTGAGCCTGGGGCCCTGAGGTCAGCCCTGAACCTGGGCCTTGGGGGTCAGCCGTGAGCCTGGGCCCTGGGGGACAGCTCTGAGCCTGGGCCCCGGGGGTCAGCCCTGAGCCTGGGCCCCGGGGGTCCGCCCTGAGCCTGGGCCTTGGGGGTCAGCCCTGAGCCTGGGCCCCGGGGGACAGCTCTGAGCCTGGGCCCTGCAGGTGGCCAGGCGGGGGAACAGGGGAACAGGGGTCGAGACCCCGCGGACACTCACACGATGGCGCTCACGCCCCGGCAGTAGCGCTCCCACATGCTGCGAAAGCGGGGCTGTCCCCCGATGTCCCAGAGCTGAGCGAGGAGGGGGGGCAGTGGTCTCAGCAGCCGACAGGCAACCAGACCCTCTTCGCCCCCCCCCCCCCCGCCCGGGCTCCCCCGCCCCCCGTCCTCCCTCCGCGCCCACCTTGATGGTCACGTTCCCCTTGGTGATCTTGCGCATGTTGAACCCGACCGTGGGGATCATGTCCTCGTTGAACTGTCCTGACTGGAGGGAAAGTGGGGGTTGGAAAAGGGGCAAAATCGACAGGACCCGCCCTCAGGGGCCTCCCAGCTGCGAGAAAATGACGGCGAGAGGTCAGAGGTCCCCCATCGTCCGCTGCAGGTGGTAGAGGTCACGGTTGGATTCCCAGTTGGGGCCCAGGCCCGGGTTGCAGGCTCGATCCCCAGTGTGGGGCGTGCAGGAGGCAGCGATCCATGATTCTCTCTCATCATTGATGTTTCTCTCTCCCTCTCCCTCTCCCTTCCTCTCTGGAATCAATAAAAATATATTTAAAAAAAAAAAGGAAAGAAACTAGAGGACCCATAGGCTCCCATGAAATTGAACGCCCCCCCCCCCCCCCCCGCCGCAGACGTTATTGTGAGCAAACGGGGTGCCAGTGCCACTGTGACCCTGCTAATTGGGGGCCCCCGTGAGGACTTCCTGTCCCTGGTCATGTCTCTCGGCTCACAAGCTCCTCACTGGAGACCAACTGCGGACCAAAAATATTACGGGGGGAACGTTCCAGAAACACACAATTCCTAAGTTTTAAATCGCGCGCCGTTCTGAGTAGCGTGATGACATCTCGCGCCAACCCCACGCTGTCCGGCCGTGAATCGGCCCTTTGTCCGGAGGCTCCACGCTGGGCCGCGTGCAGGACAATGAGACAGTCTGTAGCTTTTTCAGTTCGTGGTGATAATGGTTCTGTGTTGTTATTAGTCACTGTTTTCATCTCTTACTGAGCCTGGTTTTCAAAGTAAACTTTATCCCAGGTGTGTACGTGCAGGAAGAAGCTTGGTAAAGAGCCCTGGCCGGTGCGGCTCAGTGGATGGAGCGTCGGCCTGCAGACCCAAGGGTCCCGGGTTCGAGTCCGGTCAAGGGCACGTACCTCGGTTGCAGGCTCCTCCCTGGCCCGGCCCTGGTTGGGGCGCGTGCAGGAGGCAACCCGTCGATGTGTTTCTCTCACATCGATGTTTCTCTCTGTCTCTCCCTCTCTCTTCTGCTCTCCCTAAAAATCAACGGGAAGATGGCCTCGGGGGAGGATTGGGAAAAAAAAGAAAAAGAAAAAAGAAAGCTGGTGAAGATAGGGATCGGTGCTGCCTGCGGTTTCGGGTATCCATCGGGGTCTGGGGACCGCTGTGACCCTAAAGTCAGCTAGCCCAACTCTTGTCTGCACCGTGAAGCCCCTTGGGGTCGGCCCCCCTCTCCCAAAGTCCTCTGTGAGTCAGACATCCATCTTCCTGCGACGCCCACCCCCGTTCCTACACCTTCCCCCCCCCCCGGGGCACCCCACGGGGCACCTTTAAGTATTTGAGAACAGCCCTCTCCTCCCCCACAGGCGAAAACACCCCTCTGTTCCAGCATCCCATTTCAGACGAGTTTTAGGTTCACGGGTGCATTGTCTGTGATTTTTCCCCCAGCTCGCACCCAGGGGACGGAGGGAGAAAGTGGGTGGTGGGCTGGGGTCTGCTTCTGCATTTCTCCCTGAGGGGTGCTCTCCAGGGGACATGCACGGGGCGGACAGGGTGCCTGCGGGGCCCAAGGGCCCAAGTACCTGGAGAGACCCGACCCCGGAACTCCCCTGCAGCCCGTGGGGTGCTTTTCCCAGGGAGCCCCATTATTGATGGATTGATTGATTTAGTTTGTTAATCCTCATCCAAGGTTATTTTTGCATTGATTTTTAGAGCGCGCGGAAGGGATGGAGAGACAGAGAGAGAGAAACATCGATGTGAGAGAGAGACACATCAATTGGTTGCTTCCTGTATATGCCCCAACCAGGGCCAGGGATGCAGCCGGCAACCTCGGTACACATCCTTGACCAGGAATTGAACCCAGGACCCTGTAGTCCACAGGCCAACGCTCTACCCACTGAGCCACACCGGCCGGGGTGAGAAGCCCCTTTAAGGGGACACTCGCCTGCACGGTAGGGTGTGTGCGTTGAAGGACAGATTTCTTATCCAAAGGCGGAGCGTGGGCTGGGGACGGGGACGGTCTCTGTACGCCCCAGACACTCTCCACCCCAACAGTGCACCCGTGACTCGGGGTTCTGCCCCCCCCACCCACCCACCATGCCGCCCAGTCTCTGGGCAGGATGCTGGCCTAGAGGGGAACCTCCAGACCAGGAAACGGAACCACTGGGGTTCCCCGGAGTCCTGTCCGGGAACACCCTGGAGACCGAGGGGGACACCTAGCTTGGCCATGAGGGCGGCAGCAGCTTATTTCTCCTCTTGGCCGAACCCCCCTCTCGCCCAGACATCGCCGGGGTGCTAATGCCTAGAGGCCGGGCCATGCTGGCTCGGATCAGGGTCAGGCCCTGTGTCCTGCTCAAGGGCCCAGAGCCAGGTCAGTGCCCGCGGTGTCTGACTCCAGGGCCCCCGCCTGGGTAGACCGGAGGGCCCGAACCTTTGTGCCAAGAACCCCCGCGTGGGCCCGGCGATCCGCCCAGACACGGGGTCCCCGTCCCTCCCGCCGTCCTCGGGCCCTCGGCTCTCAGGCGACGGATGCCCCTTCCGGGACCTGCCAGGCAGGGTGGACCCAGGCTGGCCGGCCACACTGCTTTGCTGCTGACCCATCTCGTCAGCATTGCTGGCCCATCTCTGGCCAGCCCGCCATTCGCAGAATCCCCGGGTTGGGAGCTGGGGCGGGGTCCCTGGACCACGGCAGCCCAGCCCCGGCCTTCCCAGCTCCACGCCCGGCCCCATCAGCGGGGCTGGGAGGCCCAGGCCATGCAGGCCGCAGCCATGACTGCAGCCTTGTTCCTACCACAGAGCTCATCTTCCCCTTTTTCTCCAAGACGGAGACTTAACTCCTTCCCCGCCACGCCCGGGGCACCCGTCTCCGGGCACCCAGCTCCCGCTGGGCTACGGGAAGCCCTCAGGGCCACGGTCTCCCATGGTCTCCCACGGCCCCAGCGTGGGCAGTGCCCTCCAAGTCATCTCTGGTCCCGGCACCTCCTCCTGCAACTTCTGAGCCAGGCGGAGCCTCCAAACTCCCTTTAGGATGCGATGCCACCCTCCCCAGACCCCCGGGTGCCAGATGCCGCCGGTCCCAGCCCGGAGGGGGCCCTGGAGGAGGAGTCTGGCTCCAGCCTCCGGCCTCAGCTGACTCCACTACCCCCGGGGGTGGGGGGGGAGGCACCTTCCCTGCCCCTCCATAGCGCGGGGGCTTCCTCTCCTGGAGAGAAGGGGTTAAAGCCTCCGGGTGGGGCTGGCGGGGCCCAGGCCCCCTCCCTAGGCCCTGGGGCCTCCGGGTCAGCCACCCGCCGCCGCAGGCTGGGCGGGCACAGGCCTGGCGCTTTCGCCCCGTCATGCCCCCTGGCGCGGGGGCGGAGGGGCCAGGCGCGGCGGGCAGAGGATCCCTCCGGCCTGGTGAGCCCTTGGGCCCTCGGGCCGCGGGTCCCGGCACCAGGCCTGTCCCCGGTCCCCCGCCCCCGTCGGGCCGGCAGGGAGGGAGGGAGACGGGGCGCGCGCACCCGCCCGGGTCCCTCGGGGCTGTGCTAGGCCCCAGGCGCCCGGCCCGGCCAGGCGGGGACCTCGGCTCCCCCGGGCGCGGCGGGTGCAGACAGGCCCCGGCCGACCCCCCGCGCCCCGCACGCACCGCGATCACGTTGACGAAGGTGGTCTTGCCCGAGTACTGCAGCCCGACCAGCGTGAGCTCCATCTCCTCCTTCCAGAACAGCGCCTTGAACCAGTCCAGCAGCTTGTTGAACAAAGCGATCATGGTGGCTGCGCTGCTCGGCCGGGCGGCCGCGGTGCGCCGGGCTCGCGGGGGTGCGCCGGGCGGGCGGGCGGGCTCCGCGGGGCTGGGGCGCGGGGCGACTCGCGGCCGGATCGGCTCGCCGCTGGGTGTGGCCTCGGCGCCTCCTCCGCCGCCGCCGCCGCCGCCGCCGCCCCCTGCGCGCCGGGAGCTGAGCCGGGGCCGCGTCCTGCTCGCGCCCGAGCGCGCGCGCCGCTCGCCGTCGTCGCCGGAGCGGGGCCGGGGCGGGTGCGCGGGGCCCGCGGGCTCAGGGCTGGGCCTGGCCCGCGGCGGCGTCCGGGCCCCTGGGAGGAGCGACGATTCGTTGTATTTGTCCCCCTGGCCCGGCTGCCTGCGAGCCCGGCTGGCACCCTGTTCCTTCCTAAAGGGTGGGGGGCTGGGTGGGTGCGCTCCCCGGAAAACAGGAAGGCGTGTCCGGGGTGGAGAGGGCGGCTCACCCCCCCCCCCCCCCCCCGGGACGCGAAGGCCAGGCCTCCCGCTGGGAGAGAGAGGGTGGGAGGCTTTGTTCCCGGAATTCCCGCCTGTGGGCGTCTCTGGGCATCTGGGGGGGCCCCCAGTTCCCTCCCCTGGCGTGTGCCCAGCCGTGGGGAGCACCGTGTGGGGGACTTTGCCAGCCCCTCTTGTTTTGTTCATAATTTACGGGAACCACGTGTTTAGGAGCGTCTGGTCCAAAGTGAAATGGATGTTTAGAGGTTGATGCTGGCGTTTTACTAATATCACTTAGAACAACTCCCAGGGGAGGAGAGGGCCAGCTCCCCCGGAGCAGCTGGGGTGAGTGGGCAGTGAGCGAGGCAGGTCCACAAGCTGGGCCTGGGGGCGGGGTCCCCACACTTTCTCTCCTCCAGGGACTTCCCTCTGCGGCCTGCCCCGGGACACGTGGGGTGAGGAAGCGTCAGGCTCCTACGGGGAGAATTTGGACAAGGGCAGGGCCAGAAGTTCCTGTGTCTGGCGTCTTGGGGGGCTGGGGGGAGGGGCCAGGTGGAGGTGATCTTGCCACCCAGTAATTATTTTTATGAATATGTTTTTATTTTCTTAAAAAATATTTTTAAAAATTGATTTCATACAGGAAGGGAGAGGGAGAGAGAGAGAGAGAAACATCCATGATGAGAGAGAATCATGGATCGGCCGCCTCCTGCACGCCCCTCACTGGGGATGGAGCTCGCAACCCAGGCCTGTGCCCTGACCAGGAACGCAACCGTGACCTCCTGGGTCATAGGTCGACGCTCAACCCCCGAGCCACGCTGGCCGGCTGGATTGCTCTTCCTTAACGGCAGCAAAGCACAAATGCCCCTGTCATCCCCGCGGAGGCCGAGCTCCGGGCACCGGGCACCATCTGTCCCTCTCAGATCTGCTCGAATGCCAGCTCCCAGCCTCAAGTTCTGAGTCAAGGCAGGCTCCCCTGACGGCCACTGGGGGCCACTGGAGGAAGCAGAGGCGTGGCCGGTGGTGAAGACCTGGAGTCTGGCCATGGTCCTGGCTGATCAGAGTCCGGTGGCCACACATGCTCGCTGAGGGGGCACCCCTTCCCCAGGCCCAGCCGGGGGACACCCGGGTTTCAAGGCCCCCTTTCTCCTGACCCACCTTCCCGGGCCTGGGGAAGGGGGCGCCTGGGCTGGCGGAGGGCGCCGGGGGTCAGGGGCTGGGCTCCCCGGGCAGCTGGGCAGCGTACAGGGCCAGGGTGTGGTGCAGGAACTGGTACTGCTCCGAGGTCTGGATCATGCCCCCCCTGTGGGGACAAGCAGGGACCATGAGTCTCCTTCCCGTCGATCCTTCTTCTGCTTCTCTCCTTCCTGCTGCTCCTCAGACCTTCTCCCCCATGGGAGCCCCCTGCCCTTGCTCAGGGCTGAGCCTGGGGGAGGGGGTGCCAAGGAGGGGACGCCCCACACTGGCACCTGCTCTCACGGCAAGTGCTGGGTGGTCACGTGCCTACGAGCACTCTGACCCCGAGGCCACCTGGCGTCCTTGGCCCCCCGCGCCCCCGCACACCCACCTGTCCAGCCGCAGTTGGCACACGATGCCCAGAATGTCCACTTCCCCTCGGGCCTTCAGCTGTTGACAGCCTATGCGGGTGGCGATGAAGCAGCCGGTGCGGCCAATCCCTGCACTGGATGAAGCCAGGGAGGGGGCGGGGGGTCACAGGTGACTGGGGACGTGGGGGCCGGGACCCCCAAACTGACCCACTCTACGGGAGGGGGGGACGCGGGGCGGGGCAGGGGCCAAGCCGGGGCAGGCAGGAGCCGGCCCTGGACCAGTTACGTTTCCGACTGGCCTCGCTCGAAGCCTCTAAGGCCGCCCTCCGGGCCCGGTGGACGCCTGATGAGCTGTTGACAGCGGTTTCCAACGGCCGGACGGTGCCCACGCCCGCCTTGCTGACCCCAGGCCGCCTTATCGGAACAGGACTTCCTCCCGCAGACTCCCCACAGCGGTCACCCGGCCCCACTCCCGCCTCGGGCCACTCCACGGCTCTCTCTCTTGCCCTTCCTCCTTAGGAATTCTTCCCAGGTCCCGGGGCCACCTGTGTGTGCAGGGTGGGGTGGGGGGGCACGAGCCCCCCGCCTGTCCCTCGGCCTCAGTGCTCAGCGTTCTTTCTTCAGGAAACGGACCCCCGGATGGTGTCCTGGCTTTAAGCCTGTCCCCTGCACGGCCTGCGCTCCCCCCCAATCCACCGTTTACTTTGTAGCCAAAGGAATTCTTTTAAATGGCAAATCCGAGTGTCTTAGCCGGTCCAGCGAGGGCCCCTCATCCTCTGGTTTTCCAGCATCTTCTCTTATTAAACCCCCTACCCTCCCCCACCCCCATGACCTCCAGGCCCCCTGGCCTCTAACCACTTGCAGCAATGCATCAATGTGAATAGCTCATCTCGTCTCTGGGCCTTTGCACATGCTGTTCCACCTGCCTGGACCAGGCCCCCTTCCCCTCGTCACCTCTCAGGTGTTAGCGTAGCTCAGATTGCCTTTGTCCAGGGAAACCTTCTCTGGCCAATGTCTGGGTTGGGCTGGGTGGGGGGCGGGGCCAGGTACCTGCTGTGGGGGTGGGGCCAGGTGCCTGCAGTGGGGGGCGGGCCAGGCGCCTGTGGGGCGGGCCAGGTACCTGCAGTGGACCAGGATGGGCCCGGAGCTGGCGGTCACCTCTGGGCTCTCCTCCACCTCGGCCACCAGGCGCAGCAGTGGTGCGGCCGACTCCGGGGTCTGGTGGTCAGGCCAGGCCGAGAAGAGGATGTGCTTCACCGACCGGCACTCGTCCTGGTGCTGGCGTGGGGACAAGGGCGGGGCCCGGGGTCAGGGGAGGACTCGGCTGCCTTCTTCCCTGGTGCCAGGGCGGGCAAGGCCGAATGACCCCAGGGTGGTCATGGACCCCCAGCCGGAGGGCCAGCTCTCTTCCTGCCCATCACACTCCTTCCCGCGGGGAAGGGACACCGGCGGGCGTGGCTCAGGGGCTGAGTGCCGACCTATGAACCAGGAGGTCAGGGTTTGATTCCCGGTCAGGGCACAGGCCCGGGTTTCAGTCTCCATCCCCAGTGGGGGGCATGCAGGAGGCAGCCGATTCGCGATTCTCTCTCATCATGGATGCTTCTCTCTCCCCCTCTCCCTTCCTCTCTGAGATCAATAAAATCTATTATAAAAAAGAGAAAGGCTTGATGAGCAATCCTGGGCTCCCAGGGGAGGCTGGCCCCAGCCCCTGAGCAGCTAGGACGGCCGGGCTGCCCGGTGGGCCCGGCCTGTACCTGGACCGTGAGCTGCCGCACGGTGTATTCCGGGAGCTCCCTCTCCTCTCGGACGCGGATCCGGAAGGGCCCGTAGGTGTCCTCGTCCGTGGGCCAGTAGTGGACACATTTCTAAGAGAGAGGGGGCTGGGAGTCAGAGGAGGAGGGGCTGTCATCGGGGGCAGGGCCAGGGCAGCAGACAGGGGAGTGGGTGCCCTCCCCACCCCCACCCGCCCTCCTCCCACCCTCCCCTGCAGATGAGATGCTCACCCAGCTCCACGGGGTGCATCTCAGGGACTCTGAGTCGGGCACGCTGGGCCTGCCGACATGTGCTCTCGGCCCCCAGGGGGGTTCTGAGCTGCCCCGAGTCGGGGTGTGTGTGTGGGGGTGTGGACGGGGGCTCTGCTCCTACCTCCTTGGCCTCGCGGAGCTGGGTGAGCATGACAATGAGCGGCACTTCCTCCTGCCACACCATCTCCCAGAAGTCCGCCACGGTGTTGGGCATGGGGCCCTGGGTCGCAATGTAGACCTTTTCCTGCCCATTGTAGCCCTGGCGGGGGGAGAGGGGCACAGGGGGAGGCTGAGGAACAGCGAGAGGAGACTCCGGGGACCCACGCTCTGCAGGTCCTAGGATCAGGCTGAAGCAGTAAGCGTGCACATGCAGACACGTGCACACACAGGCACGCATGCACACACAGACACATGTGCACACAGAGACACATATGCACATGCAGACACAGCTGTACACACAGACACGCATGCCCACACAGACACACATGCACACACAGACACATGCACAAATGCACACACCAGAAGCACACGGTGGGAAGGACGTGGGTTCTGGAGTGAGGACCATCTGGGTGCCACCCCTGTCCAGCTGCTGGCTGGCTGTGCCACCACCAGCAAGCGACGGGCTTCCGTGAGCCTCAGTCTCCCCATCTGTGAATTGGGCATCACCCCGGCCTTGCAGGAACACAGTGCAGGTCAGACTCACAGTTACCGCAGGACCAGCGCACATGAGGCCTCTTTAAACCCTTGGCTCCCCCCCTCCCCCCCGCATTCTCCCCGCACAAGACACGAAACTACGCCTCGACATTCGTGGGGTGAACGTTCCCCTTTGCATCTCGCTCCCGTGCACTTAGGAGCGAGACGAAGCAGCGTCTGGCCAGCCCTCCTTTCTCTGAGCGGGACCTCGGTCCACCTGGCTCACCTGCCGGCAGGTGGGGATCCAGTTCCCCAGGGTCCCAGCCTCACCTGTCCACCTCCCTGCACCTGCTGAGCCCTGTCCTACCGCTTCAGGCCCCTAGAGGGCGCTACTGCAAGGCCGTGATGGAGAGAGGGGAAGGGGGAGAGGGGAGACCTCGGCTGTGTTCTGGGGGGTGTTGTGGGGACATCAGTACCTGGGCCGGCCCGGCAGGACGGCCGTGGGTCTGAGCCGGAAGCCTCCGGCCCCCACGGGAGGAACCCCCACCCCAGCCCCCACCCGTCCGTCCGGCCGGCCACTCACTCGGATGTAGTTGGCGTTGATGTAGTCCCCATCCTCTTGGCTCCGAGCCCGGCCGAGACACACGCGGCTCTGGGGATCTGGGGAGTCAAGAGGCCAGGGGCCGGAGGTCAGAGGCCACACGGTGACCTGGG